AGAGCAGGGTTTAGGGCTGTTGTGCATAGGGTCGCTATGAGTCGGAAACGACTCGACGGCACATAACAACAACAACAACTTCATCCAAGAATGATTCTGCTAAAAATAATCAATCATATATTGCTCCTCTTCTGCTCAAAGTCATCCCATAGCTTATGTCTCACTTAAGAAAACCTTAAGTCCCTGCTTAGGTCCATCACATACTATTCTCTTCCTGGTCTTGTTTTCTCTCTGGCCTCACTCTCTCCTAGTCTCCTCTCTTCTACTGACCTCCCACCACAAAGACTATCCCACAGCCTGTAACCTTCCAGTTAGATTCCGGTCAAAGAGCCTTTGTACTTGCTGTCCCTGCCAACTGGAATGTGGCACCCTCCTTCCCAAGTAATTTTGCGACTAAGGCCTTCAGGTTTTTAGTAAATAGTCATGTTTTCAATCAAGGCTTCCTGGCCTCTCTACCAAAAGCCTCTGCCCCCTCACCCCAACTGCTAGCAACACATCATATCTTTTCTATGCATTATTTTATCTCCTCTGTACGTACACTTTTTGTTTATTTCTTTCTTTCCAGATTAGAATATAAATGTCATTCGAGTTGAGATCATTCTCTCCAAGGTTCATTCCCGAGTCTGCTGGTTTGAGAATAATGCCTGGCCTATAGTAAGCACTCCTTACACATGTGTCAAACATATGAGCACATTTTCTGTGTTTCTATTTGACTACAATGATCTAGACGTTGTGCTAGAGACACTGAGGGGCCAAAGGTCGCTATGAGGCCACTTCTGTCCTTAAGACCTCACAACTGTGGGGAGCTGCTGATATGTACCTGTGTTTGGGGCTAAAATAGAAATTGGCCCAAGAGGAAGTGGGTCCTGCACCCAGGGAGGGAGCAGAGTGGATGATAGGTGAATAGCCTTCACACCTTAGGAAGCAATTACCTTTGCTGTAACTGTCCCATTTCAATGTAAATAAAGGTGTAAGAAAGTCATTGCATCCAGGCATGTACTTTCCTCCATTTGGGTAAAAGTCCAGGTGACCAGAGGTAGCAACAGTCCCCAATCCTGAAACAGATAAAAGGAAGGTAAATATTTCCAAAAAAATATCTGTATTTCAATCCAGATTCCTTTTTTTCCCCTAATAAAAAAAACCCCAACCAAACAAAAACCAAAACAGAACGAACCAAACCCAAAAACTAAGTGAGCTGCATTTGTGTGAATCACGTCGACAAACTCGGCATCTGAGGGATCCAGCCTGACTTCCTTCGGAGTGCTGTGGAAATACGGCCCAGCAGGATCCAACCCTAGAAGAAAGCACCACACCTGTCAGACTGAAGCACTCGCTGTACACGCGCAAGCTGGACTGTGATGTGGTTTAGGTGAAGGCAAATTAGTCTTTACTATGTAATTCATATGACCATTCACTTGGTGCTGTCAAGTCAGAGTCAACTCGTAGCTGACTCTCCAGCGGGTTTCTGGAGGCTGTAATCGCAGGAGAGGAGACTGCCCATCGTTCTGCCAAGGAGCCGTTGATGGATTCAAATTAACACAGAGGCGCTGCCTTTGGATTAACAGCACCACTCCCTACGGTGAGGAAAAAGGCCACAATCTAAGTCTATGGATGCAGTCTGTATCTATTACAATATCCTATTCCTACATATCATTCTTCTAGGTCATATAGCCCTGGTGTGTCCACTTGCCATACAGAGGTAACTCGTGGTTGCGGTGATGCTGAACACTGTGACACTGGTGAGTCAAATGCGATAATGGTTACCCATGGTGGATAGTGTTCGGTGGAGCTCCCTGATTAAAACAAGCTTGGAAGTAGGAGTGGCATCCACTTCCGTAATAGCTTGCCTCAGGAAACCCTATGAACCTGGAGAAAGGATGGAAGTCACACAAGCATTGAGGACTTTTGTTCATAGGGGCGCTATGAGTTGTCTACGACTCGACGGCACTTAACAACAATTCCTACATATACACAAAACTCCTACATACAATGGCCTGTTCCTGTGTCTGGACAATGTCAAAATTGCTCAGGAAGTCAGAAAATCGCAGGAGCTATTCTTACTTTTGTATGTGGAATACCACATTTGTCATCAGGGTTATTTGATTACAGAGATGGGAAGAGATATACACACCAATAAAAGACAAATAAAAATTGAAATGGACTTCTATGCAATATGTAAAAATGAATCTGCAAGGTAACACCAGGAAGGAAGAAGCTGGTATTGTGGAGAGGAGCCAGATGGAATCTGAACATGTTAAGGAGGCGGAATGCGACCTGATTGTGGGAAATTGTTGCCAGGTCTACAATACAAAAACCAAGAAGAGAAACCAAGAAGAGATGGTATTTCAATTAGGTGGGAGGAGTCAGCTGGGTCACATTCTTCACTGGGGTCAAGGAAGTTAATGGCCACCAGGCTCCCACACAACCAACAAGACACTCATGGTTTCAGCATGAACAGTTTCAATAGAAGAGTGGCAAAGACATCAGACTGTGACAAATAAAAGACAGAATCGACTTTACCTACAGAAACGGAGCCACTAAACTTACCAGGAGTTTGAATCTGACTGGAGCCCCAGCTAAGAAGGGATTGTGGGGCTAGAGAAGAGAAGAATGAGCACATTGCAGTGTTAATGGGTAGAGCTGGTGAGAGAGAATGAGTGCAAGCGAGCTTGAAGATATTATGGGAGAAAGCTAACTAAGGAAGGCATGAGGTTCAGAGCAAGCCTGAAACAACAGCAAGACCAATGGAAGTTAACCAAGATGCATCTGAACAAACCAGCCATCCTTACAAGAAAAACAAAACAAAAAAAACCACCCCAAAAAAACCCCACTGGTTTCTCTATTTTTGCCTCAGGCAGAATTGTAAATCTTCAAGTCCAGGGAAGAATTCCGTTTTGGTATTGTGTAAGCACTGATCAGATGCAGTGGCTTACTGGGAAAGAACTGCACTGCCAACTGAAGAGACCATGGTTCGAATCCACCAGTTGCTCTGTGGGAGAAAGATGGGAAATCAATTCCCCTGTGATCTATTGTCTCTGAAAACCTGCTGGTGGGTCAGCTATGGATTAGTTCTGACTCGATGGTACATAACATAACAACGTCATGAGGTAAGGTGCTCTGGGCACAAACATCCAAACACGGCATGTAGAGAGCTAAGAGGATACTGCTCCGAGGGCAAGAAACCCTAGATAAAAACTTAGACTGGCCTGGTCCCCCTAGGAGACAGGGAGGAGTGCACACTTGGGCCAGTGGCTCAGGGCTGTCCTGGAAAGAGGTCTGTAATAGAAGAGAGAAACTGAAGCCTGAAGGTGATTAATGTGTGCATTTACGTACATGTGGGCCAGCACAGAGGCAGCAATCATCCTTCAAATACGCAGAACACTGATGTTTCATAGATTAACTCCCTAAATTACAGTAATTTATGACAACTGCCCACCACTACAGATAACCACCACAGACACAGGGACGTAATTGATATCCTTCACGAGTATCAGATAAAAGTTGGTTTTAATTGGTTTCATTTTGAAGCCAACGTCTGTTTTTGAGATCTCTGTTCTTTTGTTACTCAAGGAACACTCATGCTTAAAAATGAACTACTTAACAGGAATATAGATGGTCACATCCAAGTAATATACATTCTCTGAACCTTCACAGAGCTTTCTGAAAATAGTTGGGTTTTTTTTTCTATTTACCCAACAGGATGATTTACCTGAGTGGGAAAACTAGAGATAAAGAACATCTGATTTTTGGAAGAAGAATAATGAAAATAAAATATCCACGAATCTGCTGTGACTGAGTATGAGTTTTCATACTTGTATAGTGATGTTCTTCCCTTTCATTTAGACGAAGATGTCTTGTAGGTGGCATGAGGGAATGCCAAGAGGTTCCACCTTCAAGTTGTGACCCTTCTTCTTCACCCAAGACTTGAAACCAGAGAGTCACTTGGCATTTCACCCCTAAGGACTTCATACAAGATGGTAATTTTATAATTTTCAATACAAATGATGGAGAATTGGGAGCAGAGAGCTTGGATAAGGAAATATGATCAACAAGAAAAGCCTGTTCTACCATGAGACGGCAGCGGCAAAACACATTAGCTTTATTTGGAATTCTTAATCTGTGTTTAGAAAAACAGAGTCTAGGAGGAAAATCTGAATTTAAAGCAGCACATACATTATCTGCAGAGAGTTGATCTGAACTAAAGGAAGCTTTGTCGCCTCATATTCTTTGGATCTGTTATCAAGAGGGTTCCATTTCTGGATAAACATCACACACTTGGTAGGACGGTGGGTCGGCAAAAAGGAAGAAGACCTTCAGCATGACTGGCTGACACGGTGCCCACTGCAATGGGCTCCAGCGAACAGTCGTGAGGGTGGTACAGCATCTGTAAGTGTTTCATTCTGTTCTGCGTGGCGCCTGGCGGGCTCTGTTCAGAACCCACACGGTGGTCAGTAACAGGCAATGTGGGAGACCCTCGGGGTCGCGGTGAGAGAAGAGAAATTCTTGAGCAGTTCATGTTGTTGCCTCGGGCCCTTGGGTCTGAACCTACTCATCGCTGACCCTGCCATGCATTTTCAGAAGTTGTGCATCTCACAAGAGGAGAGTGCCCACCTTTCTCCAGTGGGGCAGCTGGTGGATTTGAATCCTTTGTGTGTTGGCAGCTCAGCTTCTTATCACTAGGCCTCCAGGGCTCCCTGAAGAGTCCATAGTGCATTGAAAATAACAGACATATAAATAACTATGGGTCCATTAGATAGAATATTCCTCTTTTCCAGTCTAACAGAGGCATATTTCGAAGAGTAAGGGAGTTCACAGAGAACTCTGCCTGGGAAAGATGCATTTGCTACGAGTTTTGAAGGATGAACAGGGCATGTTTATGGAGATAGACAACAGAATGCACAGAGGCCTATAAACGCAAAATAACATGAAACATGACTAGATTACACAAGCCAAGATCATGAGAAATCTTAAGCAGTTGACTTGCATCTGAGGCAAGAGCACAACTGGAGTTGGATAACAGCTGGGGTGAGACAAACAAACGTTCAACAAGAGTTTGGTAAGAGAACGAAGAGGCACAATGAAGACACAAGAGAGGCGAGGCTTGCAGACTGCTGGGAGGAGTGGAGGGCTGGAGGAGAGGCCAGTCCAGCTCCCCGGTAATGGAATGAGAATTCTGATCTCCATTCATCTGACTCAAGTGCCTTGGAAGTCAGAGTGCAAGGAAGGAACGTACTTAATTATGAGCTTCAAAAAAATCCAACTCATGTCTCCTTTCCTTTCCAACTTGCTTCTAGGCTTAATATCTAAGGATGTTGTTGTTAGATGCCGTAAAGTGGGAAGTGACTCATAGCTGACCCTCCAGAAGATTTTTAGAGGCTATAAATATCACAGGAGGAGACTGCTCACTGTTAGTCCTTGGAGCAGCTGGTGAATTTGAACTTCACAGCTTCAGGTTGGCAGCACAACTCTTTACCACTAGGCTAGCACAGCTCTCTATCTAGGGATAATACTGAAGCAATTAATACTGAACTTGGCCTTCAACAAACCAGTTTAGCAGCACTAGTGCACCCGGGGGAGCTCCAGCCTGGGGTTCAGCTGTGCACACTGTTGGGACAGTCGCTGGGGTTCTGCCTTGTTCTGTGTACTGTGCTTGCCACGTCTGGGTTTTCAGTTACTCAGGAGGAAGGTTCCATGTTCTCCTGATTTTGCCACCAGAGGCCATGCCACAGTGTCCTCCTTCCACGCGGATCTGCTGCGCCTCACTTTGAGCACACTTCCACATATTATGTGCGGGACCAACATTTCCTCCTGCTCCTTCATTTGGTGGCAGATGCTCAGATAAACAAGTAAACAAATGCAAGGCCCAACCTGGGGCATGCTTACCGGTTATCCTTCCGAGGCCTGGCGTCCTTGACCCCGCTTCACCTGCCAGGTGTGCTCCCAGGCTGTGGCCAATCAAGTGCACTTTAGAAGGGGGATAGCCAAATTCCGTCTAAAAGGAGACAAGTCAAATAGTTTAAGAGCAGGTAAAATGACTTAAATGTATGGAGCGAGGGAGCGTCAGCAAGGGGTCTCCTTGGCAAACAGGTAACATTTTCTGTCCACTCCATTTGTATCCTGCCGCAAAAGGGAGTGCTAGGTGGGCGTGGAGGAGCGACTCTCGGAGGACTTCTGTCGGCAGCAGCCTCACCGTCCTCAGGACAACAGATACCCAGGCCCTGTGTCTGCAGCTTCAAGCCTTGCCCACCCTCCTTGGGGACCACATCTGCCAGCCTGTGTCTAAAACCAGACGCACACACCTAGGAGGTTAGTCCTCAAGGCCAAGGCAAAGCTAGAAGATGGCTGGCTGGAGCGATTTAGGCCCAAAAAAAGAAGTTTTGAAAAATATTCCCAGGGAGGTTAAATGCCCAAGAGTTAGAGGAGGAAAAAACATATACATACATACATACAACCTCACAGCGAACTTGATGGGACATAAAGGAGTATGCGTTTTGTTTCATTTAAGCTCCGTGCTCTCTTCATAACAGGAAGCATCAAGCAATAGTCTTCACTTGTATGCAATTTTGTCATTTGATCAGATACTCCATTTCCCCCCAATAGCATGATACTATGCTCTATCGCTTTATAAAGAGTATTTCCTATTCATTTGCATGCATGAGCGGGACACAATGGTTACACACTCAGCTGCTGACCTGGGCTAACCAGAAGTCTGTGGTTTGAACCCACCGATGGCCCACTGGAGACAGGGGCTGCGGTCTGTTCCTGTAGACCACAGCCTGGAAACACGAGACAGTTCCCCGTCCTTTAATACCACTGTGACTGAGAAGGACTTGATGGCAATAGTGCATTCAGCACGTTTACCCTGGAATAAGAGCCCTTTCTCTGCTGCTGCTATGATTTGACTTCCCATTTCCTTTCCTAGCCTTGTGCAGGTCAATGTGGGCTGTCCACCTCCTCAGTCCTGTTCTTCCCCTGCTGTCCCCAGGACCTGTCTAGGTGATTTATGAAGTGACAGAAGACAGGCAGGGAGGATACCCACGACAGTTCATGCATTATATAAATTAGTTCATGGCTTCCGCATTAGTCCCAAGGCCTTCCGAGACCTCGCCTCCTTCCTAGACCTCTCCGACTCCTCACCTGGGGCCTCCACTGCCCAAGCAACTCAGTGAACATTTCACTGAGGAAACACTTTTTTCCTTCAACTGAGCGAACTTCTCCTCCCACCACCTACAAGCCACTGCTGGTGACTGACTGACTCAACCTGTAAGAGAGGTCCCGGGTAAACAAAGACTTTCCCCAACAACTTTAGACTGGGTTTTCCCTGAAGGGAGCTGAGGGGTGGGGGAAAGGTCACTTCATCCGTTTTGTATAAAAAGACTCCAGATATTTTGCACAGAGCAGGAAAAGCAGTCTAGGGACCTACATGAGAATTTGGGTCCCTCATAGTTTTTCTCTAGGCTGTTTGCTAACTGGGAAAGACCTCATCCTGGTTCCCTTGGAAAGTCCTTCACTGGCCACCTCATCCATCTCTTCTGTCATTCCTGATCCCAACTGCTGGGGGTTTCCCTTGTAGTTTTTTGCCACCAGCTGACATTCTCTTGTTCATTTGTTTCTGAGGGGTTTTTTTGTTGTGTTTTTAAAAATTTTTATTTTATTTATTATATTTTGTGTGTGTACCATCAAATCGGATCTTATTGGTACAGGAGGAGACTGTCCCGCCTTCTCCAGCACAGCATCTGGTGGATTTGAACCATATACCTCTGGGATTGCAATGCAGCTTCTTGCCACTAGGCCACTAGAGCTCCCTTGTTTCTGAGTTTGTAAGTCAAGGTCTGTTGGAACAGGGACAGGGTCCTGCCCACAGGGTGCTCAGTGCTGAACCACAGCAAGAGTTGTGTAAAATAGGCTCTGAATGAACACCTGTCCTTGAAGTCTGAGGGGGTACAGCGCAGAAGGGGAAGACCCTCTATGAGGTGGATTGATTCAGTGACTGGGCTAATCGGGATGGGTGTGTCAGAGGCAGTGCGATCGGCACAGGATAGAGCAGGGTTTAGGGCTGTTGTACATAGGGTCGCTATGAGTCGCAAACGACTCGACGGCACATAACAACAACAACAACAACAACAACAACATGTGCTGAAATTACCAGGCTGTCGTTGAAATCTGAGGGCATCATTGCATCCTGCCATTTTACTCTGCTGCATTGAATGGTGGGAAATGACTTTTTTATTTTGGCCAATGCATATCCCCAGTAAAAAGTCTACTCCATCTCTTTAGAAATTAATGCCCTGCCTTACGCTAAGTGAGGTATGCACAGGCTTAATTTCACTTACATACTAATTTATACTGAATAATTTCACTCGGGCTTCACCCTTTCTTAGACTCAGGGAAAATTGTTCAGTGCAGGTTAGTTAAACAAGCATAACTACACTGGTGTGCACCATGTTTACTGGATAATCCATCTGTGTGTAGATTAAATAGTTATTTCTGGATTGGCTTATGAAATAATTCACTCCTACAGTGTAGATTCCAACTCATACCGTCCCTCCCTCGGTTTCCAAGTCTGTCAATCTTGAGTGGAGAAGACTTCTCATCTTTACCCTGCAGAGCTAGCGGTGAACTCGAACCACCGACCTTTAGATTCGCATCCCAACACATTAGACACGATGCCAGCAGCCAAGCGTTTACCCACTGTGCCACCAGTCTGAGTCAATTCATTGTCACAGAGCTGTATTTTTTGTGGGAAGTCTCAAGTCCTGAATAAATGGTATCCATATGATGACAACAGTTTATCACCATAACCACAGGTTTACGGTGTGATGAGAATGAACCAGAGTGGTCCCCACAGCTGACAATGGGGACCTTTCAGCAATGAGCCTGCGAAGAGACACTGCCATCTAGTGGTGGCTTGTTTGGGAACAGGCTCCTCAGCCTGAATACGACTGTTTCTCCTTTAAAAGAAGGTGCAACAATGAATGAATGGAAATCCAAAGTCCCTGTAAACATTCATTTAAATTAATTTAAAAAATACAAAATGGTAAAACAAATTCTGAATGTTATAATTCAAAAGCAGTTAAATAGTTTTTATTTTACTTTATTTTATTTTATTTCTAGCCCTAACCCTAAAAAAGCAGTTAAATATAGTTTAAGTAAAAACCAAAACTCTTCTTACTTTCAGAGTATTAATAAAGTAAGCCACCTCCGCGGCGACCACTCGGAAGTTGTTGACAGCGCTGAAGTAGTTGAGGGAGCCGTTAAACCAGTCTAAATTAATGCAGTTCACATCTTCCACTTGCAGCAACGTCTAGAGGAAAGATTAGGATCAAAATCAAGGAACTCATGCAATAGTATTCAAAATGGGTGATCCTGGAGGACATTATGCTGAGTGAAATATCTCAGTCACAAATGGACAAATACTGCATAGTGCCACTGTTGTGGAATGGGACTGATAATCAGGGTTGGGATAAAAACGAGAACAACTGGATAAATTATGCATACTGTATTGAAACAGATGATGGGGAGAACAGGTTAAATGAGATATATGATAGGGTATTATGGTTATCACAAGAATCCAGAATGAAGGTTGCCTAGTTGACTGTACTCGGGGTGGGGAACTGTATAACAATGAAGGAATTTTTCTTTTACTTTTCAAAGAGAAGAGTGAACTGGGGCAGGGGGAGGGGGCAGGGAGAAAAGTGCAACAATGAATGAATGGAAATCCAAAATCTCTGTACATGTTCATGAAAATGAGTAAGAAAAAAAATCTTCTGTTAAAAAAAAGCATAGATGTAGTATTTCATAAGGAAATGTTTCTTTTAAAAAATATCTAAACCATTGGTTCCATACTAAGAAACAACCCCCACCTAACCACCGCCAAGTCTTTATGGGAAGAAACCAGCCATCTTTCTCCAACCGAGAAACTAGTGGGCTTGAACCCTTGACTTTTCAGGTGGCACTGCAGCACATTTCACTCCATGACTCCTGAGTGCCTTAAGAAATAACAGTAGACATTATATGTATACAATTAACTATCTGGAGCAAGATAAGCATTACAAAGTGAACTGGGAAAGAGGGAAGGGAAAAGTGTATTTGTATGAGTGAAAACCAATCTCTTTGTAAAGTTGCATTAAAGTAACAATTATTTTATTATTTTATTTTTTTGTATATGTACCATCAAATCGAATCTGACTGGTATAGGAGGAGATTGCCCCTCCTTCTCCAGCAGAACATCTGGTGGATTCAAACCGTATACCTCTGGAATTGCAGTGCAGCTTCCTGCCACTAGGCCACCAGAGCTCCCTTAAAGTAACGATTATTTTTTTTAAAAAAAGAAATAACACTAGCTGATATTTATTTGAATCTTTTCTACCTCATAGGAAGTGTTCTAACACTTTTTACACAAAATATTAACTTGTTTTATCTTCATAACCACTCCAGGAAATAGATAACGACTGCTATTTTCCGTTTACAAAGGAAATGAAGCCCCAATCAGTTACATAACTTGCCCAAGACCACAGAGCTAGTAGACAGAACTAGGATGTGTGTTCTGACAGATGACACCACTGCAGTGTACGGTCTCATGAATACTTAATAGTTGACAATGTCATCTATTAATTTCAAGTCTAGGAGAGGAAAATTAATTTCATGCCATGAACTTGGAAATCTTTGTCCCACTTAAGTGAAATGAAGAATTGATCATATCGTCTAATCCTTTGTCGAAGGGAATAATTAGACAAAATTGATTCTAAAAATCTGCTTCCATTCTAATCTATGCAGTTCATAATAAATGGAAATAAATTAGTAACTCATTTAAGCCCCCAAACTTGGGCAACTGGATGAATATCCAAATATGGGTAAGTAGATGAAAGAGTCTCATCCGAATGAATACCTAACACCCTACCTTTGCATTACACATAAAGCTTACAGACTAGTGCAAGGAGAGCTGGCTTCACATCATACATTGCACATGTTTCTCTGCCATTCACCGTGTGAGTTGAACCCAGGAATGTTGATATGAGTCCTCTTGTTTGTTCCAAAATAGGAGGCTCGGATAGTTGAATAATTAACTGCACTGATCTCCTGTTTCAAGTGAAAAATAGATTAAGATGAAATTATTTCGATCATTTTTGTACTTGGTAGAACTATGCGAAGGCTGCTCAACTATCACTAAATTTGACTGTAATCATCATCTTCATTATATTTCAGTAAAAAAAAAAACAGCCACACTCACTTAAATCACAATTGTTGCTATTAAGTGCCTTTGAGACCAGTACGACTCATAGTGACCCTATGGAGAACAGATCTTAATCCCATCTTAACCTGCACCAGCCTTATCATTCCTGACACATCTGAGCCCACTGCCGCTGCCACTGTACAGACCCATCTCATGCAGGGCATTCCTCTCTTTCGCTGAACTTCCACCTCCACAAGTCACAACAAAAAGCTAAAAAAAAAAAAAGAAAGAAAGAAAAAATAGCTACTGCTACGTATCACACAAAGTGCCAACAAATTATTAATCTATTCTAAAATTCAATATATTATTTAACTATAAGGAAAGGAAATAAGACAGGCTTGGTTTTAAGGTAGTGTTTACAAGCTAGTGTTGGGTAAGGTGGGCAAGAATTCAGGTAAGTCTTCCCATTGTTGTGTACCATAGAGTTGAAACAAACCCACAGCAGATCCTACAGCAGGTTTTCAAGGGCACTTAATTGCACAGGAAGAGATTACCCTTCCTTCTGCGATTGGCAAGAGGCCTCGAACAGTGTACCTTCGGGCTTGCAGCACAGCTTCTTTCCACTAGGCCACCAAAGGTCCCTTTTAGGGAAGGCTTACTTTTGCTAAATCCTAGTTAGTTGTCAGTGTAATACATGGAAATTCTTTCATCTGAAGTATAGTATCATGTTGCAAAGATGGCAAAGGACCTTTGTCCACCCACATTATAATTTAAACAGAGACTACAATCTCATGACATAAGAAAATTGCGTGGTTGCGTGGTTGCGTGCTCTTGGGTTAATTCTTGTACTCTTGGTGACTATCGCCCCAGAGGATCCCCAAGGCTATTTTCCTGGCGGAAGCAGACAACCACTTCCTCCTCCCAAGGAATTGCTGGTGGGTTTGAATTGCTGATATTTTGGTTAGCAGCCAAGCAGTTAACCACTGAGCCCCCAGGACTCATTCTTTTTCTTTCTTTTTGTTTTATTTCATTATTTTTTTGTGTGTACCGTCAAATCAGATCTGACTGGTACAGGAGGACATTGTTCCTCCTTCTCGAGCAGAGCATCTGGTGAATTCGAACTGTGCACCTCTGAACTTGCAGTTGCAGCTTCTTGCCACTAGGTCATCAGAGCTCGCCAGGACTCATTCTTAACAAATGTAAAAGATCAACTGGTACTACCTAACTTGGGAGGGACTGGAGAGCATTATGTTAGGCGCATTAACTCAGTCCCATAAGGACAAATACTGTGTAGGACCATTATTGTAGAAACAAAAAAACGTGTATGAGGATCCAAGAGGTGGAGGGTCGGAGCAGAAGGGGGAGGACTGGCAGGGGGCTAATCATGGGGTCACACAATTTGATGGGTGAAGGGAGGGGTGGGTAAAGGAAATGGGAAAGATCTGATGTGAAAAACAATGTATATGGACTTTGTAAGTAAACCGATATAAGAGAAAAATTTTATTTTTTTAAAAAAGATAAATTGAAATGAATGTTGAATATTCTTTTGTTTTCTTGTATTTTGTTGGTTTTAGTAAATAAATGTTCACTTTCGAATACTACAAATCAAAGTGATTTTGTTATAAATATAAAATTAAAGGCACAATTATAGCCAATTTTATTGAGAAAATGAATACTGTAATCAGTAAATAGCTAAATTTCACTGGTGCATCTCATAAATGGAGAAGCAATGCATTTAAATACTTATGAAATTCAAACAAAGAGCCTATTACCACCTGTGTTTAATAGTGATATGTAATTAATTATAATCATGCTGGCTAAAACATTTCCTAGGTATAAGCAAAAATTGCGTTGGCCTACATGGTAATTTTAATAGTAACACTCCTGTCTGTACATGCGCCTGACATTGTTCTGCACTCTTCGTAGATGAGCTTCTTTAATTCTCATAACCCTGTCGGGTGAGTATTATCGTTATCCTACCTTTTGACAAATTAGGAAAACGTAACTTTTTTATTTTATGAAACGCATTGTTTATTTTCCGTCAACCTTATTTCCACTTTTTAAAATTTTTCCTACTAGTTTATCTACAAAATTCACAAACAAATTTGAACAAATTTTTTCCATTTCTCTCACCCCCCCCTACCCAACAAATTGTACAACCCAATGATTAATCCCCCTTTCCCCCTGCACATCCACATCCCTCTGCTTCCAGCCTCTCCCACCCTTCCTGGATCAGGAGAAGGTACTTTAGATGTCAATTTTCTTCAAGTACCGTAGCCAGTGGGTACTGGAATCAGTGTTCAAAGCGCACCTGGTTCATCTCTAAAGTTACATGTTCAAGCACTGGGCTCTCAAATTGTGTTCTGATCAAGTTTATCGAACGAAGCAGGAAGTAAAAATCAATTATATCCTGACTTTTCAGGAACCCCTCCTTTGATAATCAATGCAATCCAACTGCAAAGATGTTCACCTACATACAAGGAAGAACCCAGGGGTGAATAACAACACCCCAACTCCTTCAAACCCAGCTGGAGTCCCTTGAAGATCTACTGGGTTTCTATTTCTACACCAGAGAAATCTGTTCCAGAGCGAGTGTCGGAGAGAAGTTGAGTTATGCTTTTCCTACCAGAAGACTAGTTTGAAGAAGTGAGACCTCACTCAGCCCTCCAAGTGGTGATGTGCTGTGTGGTCCTAACATCTTTGTTGTCCAAGTTGAATAAAGTAAAAAAGCTAGAAAAAATATTTTTATTTACTTCCAATTCAATCTAGCACAACTTTCTTAAAAGCATGTGGTTGTGTACCATCAAATAGGAGTTAACTCATAAATGAACCTGCAGTGGGTTTTCAGCAGCTGTAAATCACACAGGAGCACTGTCCATTCTTCTTCTGCAGAGCTGCACTTGGACTTGAACTGCGTGTCTAACTAAAAAAGCATGTGAGCACAGAAAATGAGAAGCTCCATTCAACATCCTGGAATCAAACTCAGCTGCTTACAAAGTTACTCCAAAAACCCTTTGCCTGGAGTTGGTTCTGATTCATAGAAGCCTTTTATGGGGTCTCCAAGACTAAACCTTGAGAGGAGACTGCCCACCTTTCTCCTTTAGAGCTGCTGATGGATTCAAACCCCAGACCTTTAGGTTAACAGTGAAACATGCTAACTAAGCACTATCTCACCAAAGATCCTCACCTCCAAAATCCATAATATAAATAATGTCAGGAGTACTCAGAATTGGCTAATAGGAGATAGACGTGAAAGAATCAGTTCAAGCTGAGTTCTCAGGCTTCTCCTTGATCAGACAGGGAGCCTGACTGTTGCTGGAGGGACCTGCCCTCCAAGTGCTCCTGACATCCAGGTGATCTCTGTCAGAAGGCAGAACTAGTCATCATCTCGGCATGCTCTAGCTCCTAGAACAGCAGGCTTAGAGAGTGCAGAAGTGCACAGGCCTGCATCACACGTACATGGGGCAAGCCACCATCTGTTAAGGAGTGTTAATGCACTGGGAAAGTAGGTGGTTCTAGTCTCCTGGGAGAATAGCCGTGAGGAGCTGTGACTCAGAGTCTGAGGTGACTACACCCTTCCCACTTTGACAGTTCCGCCCACGAGGAAGAGAGGATGCCGCCCACTCAGTTTATAAAGGCTGTGTCTCTGCTCTCTCACAAAGATGGCCACGTGTATGGGTCAGGACAGGTGCAATCCTTGTTGGTTTTTGTTGTTGTCTGGTGTTTTTTTTCCCCTCAACCCTTGTTCTTAAAGCTATACCTTGACTCATCCTGTATCCAGCTTTAGAAACAAAAAGAAAAATTTTAAAACACCAACCCACGTTGGAAGAGTAAATTCTAATTGCCAGATGTAGGGACGGGACTTGTTTTTAGTCACACGTGATTCCATCCAGATGGAGGGAGTGGAGAAGACGTGAGGGGTGTTGATTTACGGTTCTTGATGAGGGAAATGCTGTTTTCCCAGGGCTTTGGGACTTCTCATCTTTCTCACCTGAGCTACTAACTCGTTCTTACTGTACTCCTGAACGACTCAAGTGCATTACCCCAGGCCAGAAGGATGAAAGGGCCAATGACTGTGTGGACTGATCAAGACCAGAGTGGGTCCTGGATGCACAGATGGGCCCTCGGGGTCCTAAGTGGACAGAGAAGCTGTCTCAGAACATTTGTATTCAGTATAAACTTTCTCTGATTTTTTTTCACAGTCACAAAAAAAAAATCAAATTTTTAGTGGTTAAGTTTCTCTAAATCCAAAATAAAAAGTAATTTTTTTTTTTTTTAAATTCCAGATTGAGGAGTTAGCTCTACAGGACAGATCGTATATTACAGTGAAAACTCGTGTGTGTGTGTGTGTGTGTGTGTGTGTGTGTGTGTGTGTGTGTGTGTGTGTGTGTGTGTGTGTGTGAAGAGAAGTGGAGGGGACGGGAAGGGAGGGAGAGAGAGTGGAGAGAGAAAAGAGGGAGGGAGAGAGAGACAGAGAGAGATGGAGAGAGAAAGGAGAGAGACACAGAGACAGGCAGAGAGAGAGAGAGAGAGATGAGATAGAGAGAGAAGAGAGGGAGGGACAGGGAAGAGAGAGACAGAGAGAGAGGAGAGACACACAGAGACAGAGAAGAGGAGAGAGAGACGGGGGAGAGAGGGAGGGCAGGGAGAACAAGGAGAGAGGGAGAGAAGGGGAGGGAGAGAGAGAAACAAGAAAGGGGGGGAAGAGAGAAAAAAACAAGAAAAGGGAGAAGGGGAGGGAAAAACAGACAGCTGCAAGTCAGACCATCTTTTTATGTCTGTATGATATGAAGTCCTAACAGAGGTTCCCTCTTGTCTGACGAGCCCTCCCCTGTGTGTGACTAGTGGGTAGAACACAAGGCTGGAGGTTGCCTATGCAGGTAAAAACCAAGTGATCTCACATGGGGATATTTTCTATCTCAGGCCTCTCTCCCGTCTGCTCCCTAAATGTAAGTACTCCACTTGGGTCTTTCTGGGGGAATAAAACCACCATGCTTGTAAAGCAGAGAGTCAACGAAAGAAAGGAAGACTCAGTGAGACGGACGGAGTCAGGCACAGCACAGAGGGCCTGAGCACATTGCAGACTGGGAGGAAGGCAAAGGATTGGGTAACATTTCAGTTCGGTTTGTTATTTGCTAAAAGCCAGCCTCAGTCTGACAGCACCTAACATCACAGAGCAGAGTTTAGGGCTGTTGTACGTAGGGTAGCTATGAGTTGCAAGGGGCTCGATGGCACATAACAACAACAACAACAACATCAATAGCTATACATCACTGGTGGTGGCATGTGGACTCGAGTAGGATCTTACTCATAGCTGACCCTCCAACAGGTGTTCAAAGGCAGTAAAATGCACAGAAGATTGCCCACCCTGCTCCTGTGAAGCAGCTGATGGGTTTGAACCAGGTGACTTGGTGATTTTAGCATAACTTCTTATCACTAGACCCCAAAAGGACCAGGAAGCAATCATCAGAACAGAGCAGGGAAACACCACAAGTTCAAGATCAGGAAAGGAGTGTGCCAGTGAGGCACTCTGTCTGCATACCTTTTCAATCTATATGCAGAACAGATCATCTGGGAGGCTGGGCTTTTTACGAGGAGGAATGTGGCATCAGGATTACAGGAAAACTCATCAACAACCTGCGTTATGCAGATGATACAACCTTGCTCACTGAAACTGAAGAGGACTTGAAGTGTTTGCTGCAGAAGGTCAAGGATTGCAGTTTTTAATATGGATTAAAGGTCAACATCAAGAAAGCGAAGATTCTCATCACTTGGCCAACTGGCAGCACCATGACAGATTGAGAAGAGATTGAGATTGTTAACAATTTTAGTTTGCTTGGTTCCACAGTCAACAATCTTAGCACCAGCAGTCAGGAAATCAAAATAGGAATTGCATTAGGACAATCTGCTGTTAGGGAATCTCACCAGAGTGCTAGAGAGCAACAGTATCAGTCTAGAAACTAAGGTGTGCCCAATCCAGGCCATAGTCCTTACTATTATTTGCTGTGCATCAGAGAGCTGGACAATGACTAAGGATGACAGAAGAAGAATTGATCCATTTGCATTCTGGTGTTGGAGAAGAGCATTGACTGTCAGGAGAATAAACAGATCTACCTTGGAGAGGGTGAAACCAAGTTTCTCCTTGGAGGCAAGGATTTCCCCTCCCCCCCCCCAAGTTTTCTTTTTTTATTAGGATTTTGAAGTTCTGTCTCACATACTTGGGCTGTGTTGCCTAGGGAGACCTGCCGTAGGAAAAGGACATCATGTTTGAAAAGCTGGAGGGACAGCGCGGGAGAGGGAGATCATGGGTGAGATGGGTTGATACAGTGACTAGGGTAATGGGGGCAGGTGTGTCAGAGACAATGAGATTGATTCCAGTTAGAGCAGAGTTCAGAGCTACTGTATCATGGATCACTGCGAGTCACAGGTGACTTGATAGCATATAGCAACAACAACAACAACAACAGCAAGAGGGATCTAATCTCATGCTTCTTGTAAATACTAAAACAAATAACATCGGAATCTGATTCACAACACTATAAAGAACTATTTTCCTTTAAATTAACATTTTATGCCTTATTAAATCAGCTCTACCTGAAGATCTATGTTTTCTTTGTATATATACAGCGTGTATTTTAGGGTGATCTATGTGTGAAAGAAGTGGTTCTGCTCACCTGGTAGGTATTGCGATTGTGTATGGTGTAGAGCAGAAAACGAGTGTTTATCTCCTCCGGAGAAGCGGGCATGCTTTTGATGTATCCTGGAAAAATCTTCATCCATGGAAAATCATTTTTAAAGCATCCCAGCCTTTCATAGCAAACTTCATTTCCTACAACACAGAATATGGTGTGTCAGAATTATAAGCATCAGACCTAGAGTAAGGTTGTGTTTCACACAATGAGGGTTACTTTTCAAAGGTGTTTAAATAAACACAGTCGAACCCATGGAGATTGTATTCAAAACATGCTCTTCTGTCTTCGTCCTCCCTCTCCCAGGCCACACCCCGTGACTCAGCCAATCACAGCGAGGCAGAGGACAGGGTTGGAATGGACACCCCTGGATTTGTTTTGCTGTAGAATGGAAACCTACCTCTTCGTTTACAGCCCTTCCCTTCCCTTATAAAGCTGTAACTGAGCTAGAGCGCAGCACATACCTGGCAAGGATCCCGAGACCTAACGTGGGACTATTTTTCCTGAGCTACTACCCTCTTTGTTCATTTGAATGAAAGCTCTTGGCAAAAATTGTCATGACAGGAGTCCAGAGTGAAGGCTGCACAGTGGAGTGGACTTGGGGAGAGGGATTGCATAACAATGAAAGAGTTTTACTTTTCAAGGAGAAGAGTGAATTGGGGGAGGGAATGGACAGGGAGAAAAGTGCAACAATGAATGCCTGGAAGCCCTAAGTCTCTGTAAACTTTCATTAAAATTAATTTTTAAAAGGGGGGGAGAAAACAACAACAACAACAACAACAAAAACACCACCCAATAATTACTCAGAAAAATCCAAAAGGATCTGTAGCCCCGGGCCTGGCATAGTTGTTGCTGTTATTTTTAGGTGTTCTTAAGTCAATTGTGACTCAGGGACCCTATGAACAACAAATCTGAGCCTTGTCCTGTCTTGGGCCATCCTCCTCGTCTCTGAGATACTTGAGTCCATTTTTATAGTGACTGGTGTCAGTTCATCTAGTTGAGGGTCTTCCTCTCTTTCACCAAGCCTGGTGTCCCTTTCCAAACCTGGTGTCCCTTTCCAGGGTCTGGACCCAAAATATGTGAGACAAGGTTTCACCATTCTTGTTTCCAAGAGGCATCGCAGTTGCACTTTCTCCAAAAACTGTTAGTCCTTTTGGCAGTCCATGGGATATTCAGTATTCTTCTCCAACACCACAGCTCAAAGGCATACATTCTCCTGCCATCCTTAGTCATTGCTTAACTTTCAGATGTACAGTAGGAACCCAATGTATGTTTCCAGGGTGAAAACGTAAAGGAGACCAACACTTGTTTTGCTTTTAACTACAAGACCTGGAGATCCATGTATTCATTCCTCCAATGAGAAACTTTCTGACGTATCCTTTTATAGGGGCCTTTGATCCAAATTTTCAATTAACATGCGGAGGAGGATGAAAACCTAAGAGTAAGTTCATTTTAGGCTCTTTTAGAGAGGAAGAATGGACTTGAATATAGTATTGGTTAGAGTTGTCTAAGGACACGTATGGGACAATAGCATTAATATCATAGGCAAACAAGATTCTGCTGAAAATGATCCAAAAAAACAATTGGAAGAGCACAGCAAGAGAACGACCAGATGTGCAGGCTGGGTTTAGAAGACGTGGTACTAGGGATATTATAGCTAATGTTAGATGGATCTTGGCTGAAAGCAGAAAGCATCAGAGGAATGCCTATCTGTGAAGGGAGGAAGGGAGAGAAGGTGCAAAGGAGGAAGGGAGGGAAGGAGATGGAAGGAAAAGAGGGAGGGAGGGAGGGAGAAGGAAAAGAAGGAAGGAAGGAAGGAAGGAAGGAAGGAATATGGTGGCCTTAGATTTTCTCTTCTAACTTGAGGAAGTGAAGAGACAACTGAGAACATCATTAAGCCAAAGCTGATGCTTCTGAGGCAGAGATAAGACATGTTGACTTCCTCTCTCCAATCTTTTTACTAATTCTGCCAGCCGCCATTCCTCCCGCACACTCTACTTCTCTACTGGGCTTAGTAACTCATTGCAGTGTCCATACAGACTGTATTTCATGGTCACCCAATGAACAATAGATGGAAACCTTGCCCTGGCTTGTGCCATCTCCACTATCTGTATCATGCTTAAGCCCATTACTACAGCCACTGTGTCGATTCTCCTTGGCTATAATTCAGGAGCAGAAACGGGTTGAGGATGTGGTACTTTCCTCAGATAGCTTCTAAGCCAAGCCTGCAGACAGGACTCACCCCGTCCCTAGGCCCCTCAGGCTTGGGTAAGTGCCTGGAGGCAGCCCATTCTGCCATTAAGGCTCTTGCCCAAAGGCATCTGGCTCCTTCCAGCTCCTTACTCTGCAGGTCCAGAGCTGCCTTGCTTTCCTTGGGGGGGGAGGGGAGGGATCAGGAAGCTTAGTCCTCCACCTCAAGCTGGCTCCTGCTGCTACCATTTCCATGCCCCTTGTTCTCACCACTCACAGCATATCTCTCTCTCTCTCTCTCTCTCTCCTGGATCTGTTGTTGTTGCTGTTGAGTGCCATAGAGTTGGTATCGACCCATAGCTGTCCCCCCGCCAGGTTTTCAGAGGCAGTTAATCACACGGGAGTTTGCCCATCCCTCTCCCGCAGAGCTGCTGGTGGCCTTGAACCATGTACCTTTGGGATTGCAGCACAGCTTCTTGCCATTAGGCTACAGGAGCTCTTAGAAAGTTCTTATCACAGGGAACCTGGATCCAAAGGATGAAAAACATGCACTCCATTTCTGGCTCTCCTTTCCTGAGGGTAAAAAGGCCCCTTTCACCATACCTAAGACAGATCATTTTTTTTCCTTCTTTTATCAAATTCTGATTTGAGTGAAAGTTTACAAAGCATATTTGGCTGATCAAGCAATCACTTATACACATTTTGCTTTATACCATTAATTACAACACTGACCATGCATCTATATACTTATTTATATTCCATGGCATATCTCAAGCCTAGCAGTATGGTACAACTGACCAATTCCCTCATTAGGGTTCGACGTAACTCCTTGCATGGTCTGTCCTCAACCAGGTGGGCTGACACAGTGACTGTGGCAAAGGTCTTGGGTGCGTCAGAGATTGTGAAGATGGCACGGGCTAGGAGAGCCTTCAGGTTGGCTGTTTATAGGGTCACTGTCCGTTGTGCTCTACTCCACAGCATGAACAACACAACCACCACCACCACAAAGACCCTTAGCATCCTCAGCAACCTGTTCAAACTCCTCAGTGCTCCATATATACCTTATTTACATAGTTCCAGCCAGCAATTTGGTGAGTCACAAGACCACAAATTAGCTTCAGTTCATTAGCCATTGGTTGCCATTAGCTTCAATTCATAGTAACTCCGTGTACAACAGAATGGACGTCTGCCCAGTCCTGCAACATCTTCCCAATTTCCATTATGCTTAAGTCCAATTATTGTCAATCCATTTCATTGAGGGTCTTCTATTTTCAGGAAAGTCTGCTGTTAGGGACCTCTCCAGGGTACTGAAGAGCAATGGTGTCTCTCTGGAGACTAAGGTGCGTCTGATACAGGCCATGGTCTTCATAATCACTTGTTATGCATCAGAGAGTTGGACAATGACCAA